TATACAGAGAGAGAGAGACAGTATACATAGGAGAGAGAGCAGTATAAGAGGAAGAGAGAGAAGTATACAGAGAGAGAGAGCACTATCATTGAGGAGAGAGAGACAGTATACATAGGAGAGAGAGCCAGTATATACAGGAGGAGAGCCAGTAATAAAGGAGAGGAGCCAGTATACAGGTAGAGGAGCAGTATAATAGGAGAGGGACCAGTATAAGTAGAGAGGACAGTATAAGAGGAGAGGAGACCAGTATAATAGAGAGGAGCCAGTATATAAGGGAGAGGGAGACAGTATACAAGGAAGAGGACCAGTATATAAGAGGAGAGGAGCAGTATATCATAGGAGAGGAGCAGTAATATCGAGAGGGAGAGAGAAGTATACAGGAAGGAGACCAGTATATATAGGAGAGGGAGACAGTAATTACGGAGAGAGAGAGACAGTATATAAGGAGAGTGAGACAGTATATAGAGGAGAGAGAGACCAGTATAAAGGAGAGGAGACAGTAAATAGGAGAGAGAGCCAGTTATAGAGGAGAGAGAGACAGTATACATAGAGAGAGGACAGTATAAGGAGAGGGAGCAGTATAAAGGAGAGAGAGACAGTATACAGAGGAGAGAGAGACAGTATACAGAGGAGAGAGAGACAGTATACAGAGGAGAGAGAGACAGTATACAGAGGAGAGAGACAGTATATATATGAGAGAGAGACAGTATACAGAGGAGAGAGAGACAGTATACAGAGGAGAGAGAGACAGTATACAGAGGAGAGAGAGACAGTATACAGAGGAGAGAGAGACAGTATACAGAGGAGAGAGACAGTATACAGAGGAGAGAGACAGTATACAGAGGAGAGAGAGACAGTATACAGAGGAGAGAGAGACAGTATACAGAGGAGAGAGAGACAGTATACAGAGGAGAGAGAGACAGTATACAGAGGAGAGAGACAGTATACAGAGGAGAGAGAGACAGTATACAGAGGAGAGAGACAGTATACAGGGGAGAGAGAGACAGTATACAGAGGAGAGAGAGACAGTATACAGAGGAGAGAGAGACAGTATACAGAGGAGAGAGAGACAGTATACAGAGGAGAGAGAGACAGTATACAGAGGAGAGAGAACAGTATACAAGGAGAGAGAGACAGTATACAGAAGAGAGAGAGACAGTATACAGAGGAGAGAGAGACAGTATACAGAGGAGAGACAGTATACAGAGGAGAGAGAGACAGTATACAGATTAGAGACAGTATACAGAGGAGAGAGAGACAGTATACAGAGGAGAGAGAGACAGTATATATAGGAGAGGAGCAGTATATAGAGTAGAGGAGACAGTATACAGAGGAGAGAGAGACAGTATACAGAGGAGAGAGAGACAGTATATATAGGAGAGGGAGCCAGTATATATAGTAGAGGGAGCCAGTATACAGAGGAGAGAGAGACAGTATACAGAGGAGAGAGAGACAGTATATATAGGAGAGGGAGCCAGTATATATAGTAGAGAGAGCCAGTATACAGAGGAGAGAGAGACAGTATAATGGAGAGAGCCAGTATAATAGAGAGGAGCCAGTATACAAGGAGAGGAGAGACAGTATAACAGAGGAGAGAGAGACAGTATACAGAGGAGAGAGAGACAGTATACAGAGGAAGAGAGACAGAATATAGGAAGGAGACCATTAAGTATATAGAGCAGGATCCAGTTATACAGAGGAAGTGAGAAGTATACTAGGTGAAGAAGACAGTATACACAGAAGAAAGAGACAGTATACAGAGGAGAGAAGACAGTTTTTTAATACAAGTAGAAGAGCGACAGTATACAGAGAGTGAGAGACAGTATGCCACCAGAGATAAGAGCATCAGATATAGGAAGAGAGACAGTAGAAAGAGAGAAGAGTCAGTATACAGAGGAAAGAACAGTAACAGAAGAAGAGAGTCAGTAACAGAGCGAGATGAGAGACATATCCAGAGCGAAGAGAGACAGATACAGAGTGAAGAGAGACAGTATAATAGAGAGGAACTCAGAATATGCAGAAGGGATCAAGTATACAGAGGAAGAGAGACATAAACAAGGAGAAGATACAGTGATACTAGAAGAGAGACAGTTATAAGGCGAGAAATGAGCCATAGATAACAGAGTAAGAGAGGACAGTATACAAGATGAGAACATATACAGAAAAAAATGATACATATACAATTTGAAAGAAACATAATTTAGAAGGCCAGTACAGAAGAGTAGAATCAATCAAATTTAGGGTCCAGGACATAACAGAAGATAGGAATAGCTAATAACAAGTAAGAGATACAGTATACAGAGGAGAGAGAACGTATACAGAAAGAGAGAACGATACAGAGGAAGAGAGACAGAACAGAAGAGAGAACAGTATACAGAGGGAAAGAACAGTATACCAAAAAGAGAAAGTATACAATAGAAGAGACATTACAGAAAGAGAGCGTAACAATAGAGAGAACAGATACAAGAGAGAGAGACAGAAAAAGAGAAAGAGACATATACATAGAGAGAGGACTAAACAGAAGGAAAGGGGAACAGTAACAGAAAGGAAGAAAAAGAACAAGAGAGAAAACAGGGTTTTAGAGAAGGGGGAAAACAGTATACAAGGAAGAGAACGTATACGAGGGAAGAGACGTAACGGGGGAAGAAGACAGTATACAGGGAAAAGAAAAGTAAAGGGGGAGAGAGGACGATACAAGGGGGAAGCATATCAAAAGAAGAGCAGTATAAAGGAGGGAAAAAGAACAGTATACAGAGGAGAAGACTTTAAAAAAAAGAGAGACAGTAACAGAGGGGGAGAGAACATAAAAAGAAGAGACAGTAAACAGAGGGGAAAAAGACATAACAGAGGAAGAGACATATACAGAGGAAGGGGAGACGTAAAAAAAGAGAGCTTAAAAAGAGGGAAAGAGCAGTATACGAGGGAAGAGAACGTATACAAGGGGGGAGAGAGACAGTATACAAGGAGAAGAACAATACAGAGGAAGAAGACAGATACAGGGGAAGGAGACAAAATACAGAAGAGAAACGATCAAGGAGGAAGACAGTAAAAAGAGGGAAAAGAGACATTACAAAAGAGAGAGACGTTTACGAGGAAGAGAGACATATACAGAGGGGAAAAGACATATACGAGGAAGAAAAGACGTATACAGAGGAGAGAGAGCAGTTAAAGGGGGAAAAGAGAAAGTTATACAAGGAAGAGAGAAAATAAAAGGAAAAGACAATACGGGGGGGGAGACATTTTAAAAAGGGGAGAGAGACAGTATACAAGGGAAGACGTATCAAAAGGGGGGAAAGACAGTAACAGAGGAAGAGGGACAGTATACAGAGAAAAGAGACATATACAAGGAGGAAGACATAACAAGAAAGGACATATAAAAAGGAGAGGAAACAGTAACAGAGGGGAAAAGAGCAGTATAAGGAAAGAGAGCAGTAACAAGGGGGGAGAGACAGTATACAGGGAGAGAGAACAGTAAAACAAGAAGAGAGCCGTATAAGGGGGGAGAGAGACAATACAGGGAAAGAGACAAACAAGGAGAGAAGACAGATAAGAAAAAGAAGACAGAAAACAGGGAAGGAAACAGTATACAGAGAGAAGAGAAAACAGAGGAAGAGAAAAGATACAGGGGGGAAGAACAGTAACAGAAGAAAAGGGGAAAATAAACCCGAGGGGGAAGAAGACAGATACAGAGGAAGGAAACTATACAAAAAAGGAAATACAGGGAAGGGAAGGAACAGGAGCAAAAAACTCAAAATTTTAAAAGGGACTTTAAGGGCGAAGATTATCGATGCACATCAGAAATAACGCGCTTTTGGGTCGAAAGAATTTTCAATCGACACCAAAAAATCCCCCTTTTTAAGGGCGAAGATATCAGTGCACACTCAAAATATACGCTTTAAGGTCGAAAAAATCGATGCACCCAGAAAAAATCCAGCTTTAAGGGCGGAAATAAACAATGCACAAAATCAAAATAATTGCAGCTTTAAGGGCGAAGATTTTCAGATGCGCACTCAGAAATAATCGCAGTTTAAGGGGTGAAAATTATCAAGCAACTCAAAATAATCCAGCTTTAAGGGCGAAATAAACAGATGCACACTCAGAAATAATCCACTTAAGGTCGAAGATTTTAAATCACACCAAAAAACCAGCTTTAAGGTCAAGAATATCATTGCAACCAGAAAAAACGCAGCTTTAAGGTCGAAATTATCATGGACACTCAAAATAATCGAGTTTAAGGGCAAGATTAATCCAAAAAATTTATTGGGAGAAAAAAAACCAAAAAATCGCACTTTTAAAGGGGGGAAGAAATCAATCGACACTCAAAAAATCACTATTACAATTTTTTTTAATT